AAAGTTAAATGGTCGGCCCCTAAGGCTTTCCATGCTACATATTAACAAATTTTAATTAATAGAGTTCGGTCTTGAGAACCTGACAACAAATCTAAATTAAACGTTACTTATTCCAATCTCTCACTCCATATACAACAAGCCAGCTTTCATTTTCATGCATGATTAATAAGTTAAAGAAAATTAATTCAACGGCAAAATATTCAACAAAATTTATAGCATATATAGTATTCCGACAGTGTTCTGCTTCGGAATATTTGGTAGTTTATTCCGACATATTCTGCGCAGAATGCTACGAGTATTCCGGATTTTATGGGCATGGGGCAATACAAAATACGACGAAAGGTTTCGAGGGGCGAAATTTATATTGTACATATTCAGTAAGGAGTCCGGACATGCAAAGTATAAATACTAGTATTTTGAATGTTTTTGGTTTGAGAAATTGAGACAACTCAGCGCTTTAAATAAGTAAACGCCTATTGTTGTTATAAAAATAGAATGCATTAGATCATTTGAGATTTTTGTGAAATTTTCGCATGATGGCAAATCGTGTGATGGCTTACCTCTAGTTGGCCAATGCCCATTGGCATTGTTTACTAAGTAACGTAGTAAATTTTTGACGAAATTGAGTTGCATTCAGAGTGGCAAATGTAGTGGTCCATAGTTAGTACGCTACGGCAAACCACTCCCGTTATAGTGTAAACACAAAATATAGTCTGAATACTAGAAACGTATTAAATTTTTAACGGAGTGTTAACCGTAGCGTCCTTAATTAGAATACTACTTTCTCATGACGGAATTGAATTGTAGACGCGTGTACGCTCTGGCGTACCTATTTTTAAGGATTTTTCAGTACTGGGGCAAAATGAGTGAAAGGCTCCATGGGTATGGTCATGCTCTGTCTGCGCTAACTCCTGATGTCACAAATTATTACTGGGACTATTGCAGTGCCCCCAAAACCCATGATTGTCTGCAGTTTCTCGATATATGCGCAATTTACCTAAATATAAATTTATATAATACACAGTGTTATTAACGGTTTTGCATACGAGAAAGCGGCCTCCGATAATTGCTACACTAATGCGCATCGTTATTTTATAGTACGTGTTCTTCAGCTAGCTAGAGCCCAATCTCGTTCAGAGTATGGCCCGTTCGCAGGTTAGGTGCTGGGCATGACTTTGGAGAATCGGAATGACATTTTATTTCAAAACACACGCCCCTCTCGGAGAGATACACATGCCTGCTACATGACACTTTTATCTATGCATCGTTCAAATCCATAAAGTTAATAATTGTTCTTTCCTTGAATTCAGTCGTCTTCCTGCTCATTTTTTCGCCACATGTTGGATACGTAGGCGAGCCGCTGCTGCCGCTTCGCTCTTGGTGTTGTTCTATCACATGACAATTTGAGTGGGCATAAATGTTGGAATGTTCTTTCGAGGCTTCCCTTCGCAGTCTTCGAACTTGCTCCTCTTACGACGTCGTCTCGTCTTGACCGAATTATTATATATGTGGTGATTTCAACCTTCCTAACATTGTCAAATGGTCGACTTTCCTACAAGAGGCAAGAACGCGAATAACGGACTTGGTCCTCACCAACAATCCGGATAAAATTACAAATTTGCAAGGCTTTGATGACATTCTTCGATACCGATCATAAACTAATTAGCTTTTCTATTGATCTCAAATTCAAAAGAATGCAATTTGATGTTGGGATATATAGACTCAAAGAATTGTTAGATCGCAACCCCATGGTACATGTGTTTTAATGTTTTATGACCAACGATATTACGAATTGCTTTCAAATTCGCATTGCCTATTTACTTCTAATTAAACGTTTGATCATTAATTAGAAATAAATAACCCTCAGTGGATTGACTACGACTTATTAATATTAGCGCTTATTAAAAAGAAAAACAATCAGAGGAGGAAAGCTATGAGATCTCATTTACATGCGGATCTGGAAAAATTTAAGCTCCTGAGAAGGAAGTCTAAACAACTGATTTATAAGAAAAAAATTGAACATGCAACAAAATGAAGGACCCTTGTGTTTGAAAATCCAAAAGTTTTTGGTCGTAGATTAAAAATACGACGAAGATTAACCAGCAACCGAACTTTCTAGCTCCTACAAGGACAACACTTCGTGACGGATAGCACTTGCATGGCCAATCTTTTGAACAGATTTTTCCACTCCACCTTTAGCCCATCCCTTGCAGCGCCTCCTGTCATTCGTACCACTCCACTTGATAAACACATCACCGAGGTTCAGTTGACAGTTTCGGAAGTGGTCGGGGTTCTCAGAAGCTTAGACGTTAACAAAGCAAGCGGTCCCGACGCCATCTCCAATAAAGTACTTGTCAATGTAGTCGACACTATTGCTCCCTCTTTATGCCGTTTAGTTAATTTGTCGTTCTCTCTTGGCAAGTTGCCTGCAAATTCTACTTCATGTAACCAAAAGTAAAACTTCTTTTTCAAAATGGCTTTTACATCAGAGCTGCTAATGTGTGGCTACATTTAAATTTAGTCTAATGAAATATCACGTAGAATTAATCCAACAAATTTAAGTCTTTTTTTATTATTATTTTATTGTTATTACTCGATTTTAAAAAGATACACGAAAAAGGAGTACTTAATTACCGTGCATTTACAAGGATTAAATTATTAGAGACTTATAAATACTTAAATATGTTTACAATTATCAATTAAACCTTGAACCTATATGTATTTAAAAACTATTATTATAACTTACTATTTATAGCGTAGACTTAAGACTAGTTTCCACTCAGGAAAATTATCCGTGGTTGGAACGGACAAGAAAATTTTTCTTTGTGTTAAGTCATTAGTTCCAACCCAGAGCTCACAAGACAAAAAACATTTCTTGTCCGTTCCAGTCAACGGATTATTTTCCTGAGTGGAAACTAGCCTTAATGGACTCTAATGACGATCTAATCACACTGCAATAAAATTGTAGCATACCATGTGATGGTGCGCCGTAGTTCTTTAGAACTTTAAGATAATAGATTATTTTGCCTCGTCCTTTCTTAATAATGAAATCCGTGTTGCTGATCCATTTAAAATCGTTATCTATCCGCGTTCCCAAAAGTTTATAACTTGTACCTCTTTCGACTATACGTTCATTAAAAGAAGCATTAGGGATATTACTCCTTTGTGGACGAAGATCAATGATCATTTCTTTGGTTTTCTTTGGATTTAGGATAATTTTCTCGTTTGTACAGAAACCTGATATCCTTTGAATGGTAGCAGAAATGTTCCCAATGGTTTGGTTTTCGGTATGATCGGCAACATTTAAAATTTCGGAGAGCGTGCTATCGTCAATGAACATAGATACTTGATCCTTTTTTGACATGGGATCAGCTACAGCAATGTTCGGTAGCTTATTAACTTTTGCTATGAACGCAAAAGGACCTATTTTGCTTCCTTGCGGTACTCCTGCATTTACTTCTCTGAAATTGGACAGCTCTCAAGGCTGGACGCACTCCAACATCTTTAAAATCTTTCAACAAAATATTGTGGTCAATGAGCTCGAATGCTTTTGAGAAATCGAGGAATACTATGCGAATAATTAACTGTGTTGGGTTTCTCCAAAGCAGCAAACCACATGTGAAACATCTCTAGTAAAGCTAGCACAGGTGACGAGCCTAGCAATCCTCCAAACTGTCGGTCGTTAATGTTTTCATTTGCATCATCAAGCATCCATTCCATAGCATAACTTTCTTGAATCTTTGAAAAAATACTGGTTATAGCTATTGGTCTCACATTTTCAGTCTCTGTGCATGGTTTAACTTTAGGAATAGGACAGCAATTATACGCTTTCCAAATCTTTCCAAAACGTTTCTCTCGAAAAGATGTATTGATAATATCCGTTAATGGGAAAGCGTTTTATGATTTTCTGAGGCTGGTTGAAAGGGTCAGTTGACTTCTTAACATTTATTTGACTGAGTTTTTTCCACTGTGGTCACTGATGCCCTGGATACAAGGGGAAGTGTTAGACTCTGGCCCGTTATCTGGTGGTCGTCCGAGATCTTTACATAATCTTTAGTCAAGTTGACAAGCTAGGTAATTATTAATTTCTTCAGTTGACTCTGAAGATGTCAGTGGTTCTCCATTTTCAGAGTTTGTGAGGAAAATCTGTTGATTTTTACTGGAATTACACATTTTTTTATCGTGCTCCACCAAGATTAGGGTCGTTACGTTAGATCGCAGGGGTCTGATTTTCTTCGCGTAGAATGTCTTCTCCAAGTCAGATAATAGTGATTTCAAATGCCGATTTTCATACATTAGACAATTTGCAAAACTCCTCATGGTTATTATTCTCAACAATTTTAGTTTGTTCTGCAATTTTTGTCATCTAAGCCGTTACTTTGGACTCGATATTTTCTTTAAATATATTGAACTGTTCTTGTACAGGGTTCAGGGTCGAAGATTTGACAGGTTGTGGCTTAAAAGGGGTTGGACTGTCGATAGATGGGGCAAGGGATAATTCATATGCCAAGGTCTTTTGGTATGATACATCAATAAATTCGTGTAGTTGGTCTAGAGGTAAACTATCATAAACAGTTGAGCTGTCAGAAACAGGTATTACTGGTTCATGATTAGGTTCAATACTGTCGCTGTCTATACCCTTTCCGCCAGCTTCCAACGTAGTTTGGGCGACATGCGACGATTTATCCTCGGTAGACAGAACGGGGTCGGGAAATTTACTATCCGACAATGTGGCAGTCACTGTTGTTGTGCTTATATGAGCAAGTAAAGTTTCCAAAATATCTCCAATTTTACCTTTGAAAGACAAATTACCAAGAGCATAGTTCCACGAAATAATTAGATCCGTATTGGAGCTACACCAACTAACAGAGCTCGTTTCAAATGTGCCGTCCGCCATTTTGATTAAATGTCACACCACTCGCCCACTAATGAACTTATTAATACGAACATGTTGCTAAATTTAGTTTTTGTTCGTTTGTTCGTCAATAGGGTTGCTTTGTCTTCTTATATTTATGTTTAATTGCTATGTTTGCTTAAATTTTTAAAATAATTAGATATACTACAAGTTGTTCTTTTTTGGAACCCCGTTATGAGAGAACTATCTCTGTGTGGAAATTCCAGTAATTTGTAACTATAGTACTCTATAGATGTATTGCAATGGCAAACTTGTAAAATAAAATAAATAGATAAATTGGAAGCTTGTTAACATCGCAGCTATGTTGAAGAAAAACGACCCCACAATACTGTGTAATTACCCGTCCATTTCTCTATTGAACACATTATCTAAAGTGCTAGAAAGATGTGTATTCAATCACTGTTATCAGCATCTAAGCACTATCATCACTCATCTACAACATGGTTTCCTTAAGGGTAGATCTACAACAAGTCAGTTACTCGACGTCCATCATTACATACTGGATTTTGTTGCTGGTGGGACAGAAGTTTACACCTTTTTTCTCCACTTGACTAAAGCCTTCGACACGGTTCCACATAATCTCATGTTAATGAAACTGGAAAATTATTGATTATCAGTTAATGAAACTGGAAAATTATTTAGATCGATCAAACAGCAAAGTGATCACACCTTCCTGCAATTAATAAGATCTGGATTTTCTTTATCAATGTAGCCAGGATTGGGCTATGTTGTGGAGTTCAACAAGTGTGAAACTTTGCACTTTTCGAGAAAAAGGAAACCGTGTGGTCATCTGGAAAAGACTTACAACTTGGCCGGACAATTCTCGGAAATTCGTCGGCCCGTCTGATCTCGAAGTGACCTCACTGGAACTAATAACTCACTCGAAGCTAAAGTTCATGCTTTCCTGCTGCTACAGATCTCCTAAAAGTGAGAGGAATTGGTTGGACAAATTCAACTCGTTTTGGCTCAATGCTCTTCACGCTATGAAAACATTTTAATTTGTGGGGACTTTAACCTCCCTAAAAGTAATGGGAAACTCGGTTCAGATCACAGGTGTAGATGAAGTTGCATTTACAGAACAAGTATATGATATCTACTTAACCCAGGTCAACAACTTATCGACAAGAGGTGATAATATTCTTATCAGCAGCGTAGCAAACCAGGTAGGAAATATCACAACTCTTGACCCGACTCAAAGGGGATTATTTACTGACCACGCCCCGATTGTTTTCCATCTAAAAACTTCCATAAAAGCGATCACGAAACTGACTAGGACTGTTCTTGACTACCGCAGGGATAATCTTTATGGCTTCCGTACTGTTCTAATGTTCTTGACGCAATTGATTTAACAAGTTCAGTTCAATCAAATAATGATATCAGCACCAGCCAGCTGGCAACATTGGAAGGATACTTTTCTGAACGTAGTTAAAGACTATATCCCGACTAAAAAGATCAAAGGCCTCACCTCCGTCGATAGATGGTGACATTATCCACGCAATACGGAAAAAAACCAGCAGTACGTCGAAAGCTGAGGACATCTCCAACTGACGCGCTGAAAGTCAAATTCAGAGAAATGCGAGCCAACGTTAAAAAGATGATTAGTATTAGCCGAGCAAATTTCTTTGACTCCCTTGAAGATACCTTTCTGTTAAACCCAAAGAGATTCCGGTCGATATTTAAACTTAGCAGCAAATTCCAGACACCATGTCACTTGGAAAGGATGATGGGTACAGTGCTCAGTCCCAAATTCGCTCCAAATCCACCCCTGCTACTATCTCAGAAATTTTAATGACTACTTTGCGTCTGTCTTCAACCGCACTAAATTGGAAGATCGAGCATCTGTCCTCGTCTCTTCTTACGTCTCCAACTCCAGACCACGCTTTCTCTCGTGATATTTCCTTAACAACCGAGGGAGTTCTAAATACACTTCTAGCTAGCTCGTGCCTGTGCGTAAAAAGGGGAATAAACGTTATGTTGAGAATTATAGACCCATCTCACTCCTCAGCCTTATATCCAACATCCTAGAATGGTGTGTGCCATGCTTAGAAATGCAAGAGATCACTTAATAGATTTGATCAACTGTTTTCAACACGGCTTCTTCCCTGGAAAATCATGTACAACCCAATTATTAGCGATACACAATTACATTGGGTCCTTGCTGGATGCTGGTAAGCAAACAGATGTTATTTATATGCATGGACATGTCAAAAGCCATCGATAAAGTTAATAATGAAACTCGACTACTTAATAAGCTAAACAGCTGCTTCAACATTTCTGGTAACTTTAATTGCTTTGTTGGTTGAGGACCTACTTCTTTGACCGTAGGCAATGCGTTACTGCATGTGCTAGCTAGGCGCCACCTTCTCTGAAAAACCTGTATTGTCAGGAGTGCCACAGTGTTCTATATTAGACCCTACTTAATTTTCCTCCTCTACGTTAACGACCTTCCAGATGCAGTAAAGAACTCCAAGGTTTCATCTTTCGCAGGTGATACTAAAGTATTTAAGTGCATTGACTCCATCTCGGATGCTGGCTTGCTTCAGAGTGACCTGAGTATACTAGTCTGGGCGATTGGTCAACTAATTCAGGGCTTGTATTTAATCGAGACAAATGCAAGCTTCAGCGAATTACTAGGAAAAAGAACCCGATCGACTTCCCCTACGAGATAAAGAGCAAAACACTGGACATTTCATTGGAAGAGAAAGACCTAGGCATATGGGTTACTGGTGCACTTACCTGGTCAAAACACACCTTTGACTGTTGTGCCAAGGCTAACAAGTTGCTTGCATAGCTTCCTGCGCAGATTTGCTGTGGAAATCAAAAATCCAAACACCCGCCGCACACTCTACCTCACAATTGTCTGTCCTGCATTAGGCTACGCCACCCAAATCTGGTTCCCACAGTGAATTGAACTAGTCAGAAAGATAGAGCGCGTTCAACGCCGAGCTTCAAAATTCATCCTTAAGCTGCCCTTCATGTGTACATAATCTACAAAGACATGCAGACTGGTGTCTATAAATCTGTTATATACCAGTCTGACTCTTATTGGCATCTATGTTATCCTTTGCGTTGGAGACAGAATTCATACACGAGGCAGTC